TTCTGGGAAATTTTGAAGAACAGTGAAAACAGGGCGACCATTAAATTAAAAGCAGAAAGTATCTCTGTACATGTACCTGCTTATTTAGGTACTAATTATTTCTGTTCTTTTGAAAGTTTTTCATATTTACAACAGAGCAACTAGTGCTTTATATAAAAAAATAGATTACAAGTCTCTTGGAACAAAGATGACATCTTTTATCTTTCTAACTCCCTTATTTTACATCCATTATATCAATATTACAGCTTTTTGAACACTGTAGAAAAAGAGGTTACACTTTGCTCTCCAAACCAAACAGTCCTATTTTAAAAGCATTTAATACAGATAGAGTAAATGAGCAAGGAAGCTAAGTGTTTTAATTCTACCTCTTTGTTAATTTAGACGGAGACAGACCGCAAGCAGAGTACAAAAGATATGTATATCTATTTCTCAAGCAGAACTATTGGATCTTAGAGATCTGCAACATTATTTGCAAATAGAAAAAACTATCAGGTGCAGAAAATACTAACAGAAGTAGTTGTAAAGCAGTCCTTTCAAGCCACCAGGGTATTTTTGGCATTCATGCTGTTGTTTGGTTTCCTCCTTATAGCCCCAGTCTGTGGAGTCTTGTGACTGTGCAGCAGTCTCTTCCCACATATCAAACTCACATGGCTAAGAATTTGAAAAAAAGAAACCCTGAAACTCTCCCAACAAGTCATTTCTGCCACTGGGCAGCTGGCAGTATCCAGGAGAGCAGCAACACTCCTCCCTTTTTCTACGGCTTTCTTCACTTGACTTTAATCTTAGAGCACTTAAACTTTAAACCTCAGAACATCTCTGTGAATGAGCTGCTTTTACAAATGGAGTACTGAAGCAGAGAGCAAAAACCACAAGAACCTAGTATACTTTTGCCCTCTAGACCCCAGAAGTTTAGATATGATGTTAGACTGCTAAACTTCTCAAAGGCAACTGCAGGGCATAACTGATCTCCAAACCATCCATCCCCAACAACAAGTATTAGCAGTGTGCTCACTGAAGCATTTGAACTGAATTATGAGTTTACAGATTGACAGAGATACTGCTCCAGCGGGGATTAATCCTCCAAAGCAATATGATCAAAACCATGAAACTATTTCTACCTCTTCCCGTTGCTGCCTGGCTCATGTCCACATTGTTTTTTCCCTGCATTAAGATAATGTTCCTATCCACGCTACTTTACATATTGTCTTCAGATACAAATTCAACCAGTCTGGATCATTAGTATTTCTTCTCTGTTACAGCAGTGCCTTGTGGTCCCAGTCATACCTTGTCACTTGGCAGAATGATTGTGTGAGCATAACTGAAGAGAGAACATGAAAAATTAATACAATATCTTGCTTAGAGTAAGAAGTATGAGTTTAAATTCTCTTCCACTGTTTCTGTGATGTCTGGAATTTCTCTATTAGAAATAAATAAGATATTAATTAACTAATATCTTATGTAACAAACATCATTACATGAAATTATCATCTAGAGGAACCGGATGAAGAATTTGAAATATCCAGGTGAACTTCAAAGCAGAACTGTACTTCATGATTTCTATGGCTGTCGTCTCAAGTTTCCCAATTCCTGATACACAAGGACTGTATAGTTAGTAGCATCTTGATTAGCCTGACCCAGTTTTTGGATTATAGAAGACAATTCAAAGCAGCAGCTGATCCAAACCAAAAGGCCTGTTGAATGGGTACATGGATGGTAAACCCATGGTGTCAGTGGTGTGGGCAGGCTGCCAGTTTTGGGGCATCCATACAAGCCTCTGTTTGTTGAATGGATGAACTACTTCAAAGGCTGAAACTAAAAAGCTTTGCCTTTAGTACTACGTAATCGCTCTCCTGTTCCAGAGGCCAAATGGAAAAAGGAGTATTTCCGAGACTGTCTGCCAGATGCTAAGAGCATAATGCCTGCAGAAGGAGGTCACTTCCATAGGTGGAAAAGCAGCAGTAAGCTAAGCAGCTCCCTCCACTCCATGCCCTGTGCCCAGCAGCAGCCTTTGACTCTCTGTACGAGTGCCCCAGCACTGAAGGGCCATCTCTCTGGGGGAATGGCAACTTCAGGAGGCTTTGCTGCCATCATTGCCACCTGCTGCGAGAGCTCCTGCTCTACAGCCCCAACATAGACAAAGCTCTTCCACCGCAGGCCTGGCAAACCAGGCAGCTCCTATCCACTCCGTTCTTGAGCCTGCTGGCTGCTGGCAGCCTCCCAGGTGCCTCCAACCCACATGCTGCAAGCGGGACAATGACGGCTCAGCGCAGCCAGCATCCTTCTCCAAAGCCTCCCTTCAGTTCTAACCCTGAACCAGAATAAAGTGAGCTATGTTCCGAGCATACCCTAAAACCTAAAACATTAGAGAACTACTTCTACAGGACCAATAGCTCATTTTAACAAATTTCATCAAGTACCACGTCTCACAAAATCTTTAATTTATCTGTTCTACCATTGAAGGAACATTCCCTTCACGCAGCCACAAGGTTCCCTACAAAAATCTTTCCCCTATGTGAAAAGGTCATGTAAAAAGAGAAGAAAACTGAAAGGACAATAGCCTAGACTTCAGTTTTCAATGCTACTCATGCCTCCATGTGACCTCCAGAAGGGCTGCTCAGAGAGGTGCACAAGGGAGAACAGAGGAGCGGGGGAGAGCAGGACTTCTGTGCTTCCTTTTGCTCTTTCAATTCAACTTCCACAGCCATTTCTACTCAGAAACAGCCTCCTTCCTTTTTAATCTTAAAGCCTGATGTTCCTGTCATCCTATCAAAGTCAACACAAATGTTTTTATGTTGATAGTGGCCATACTGTCAACAAAAAAAAAAAGACCACCTTGAAGAGAACTCCTTTTGCAGACCAAAAACATATCTTTTTTCTGGTGGTTTGTTTTTTTTTTGTGTGTGTGTGTGTGTGATTTTTATTTTTTTTTTTGCTGCAATTCTCCTGGAAGTAAGCAAAGAGCAGTAGCAGTAGGTGACTCCACCTCTAAAACATCAGTAGTGCCAAAACTTTCACAGAGAGGATGCTTTCACTGCAGGCTGCTGTGTAGAGAAAGACGAGATCAGCACAGAGCTAGCTAGGCTTGAGCACTGGAAGCAGCCTAGCTGCGGCAGCGCTGCTCACTGCCTCCAACAACCGAGTTTGTTGACAACTAAGTGAAAATTAGTCTGCAGTGAGCCGTGGGTCACTGAGGACAGACCACTTCTAGCATCTAAGCCAGACAATTTCAAAGTAGACTTATCGTTTCTAAGCTGCAGTGCAGTCTGCAGTGCAGTCTCCATTGTAAATATACCCAAAGTCTTTGCACTGAACATTTTAATTCAGAAATCAGAAAAAAAAAAAAAAAAAAAAAAAAAAAAAGGAGTTTTAACCAAACCAAATAAAGTACAGAGTCCAAGTAACATGAAAGGCATTACAATTCTTGTAATGTCTCTGTAACCCTTTTGTTCTCTTTTAACCCATGTTCCTGGGCCACACTTTCTAGATGCTGCAGCTCAAATCAGGCTAATTCAAATCTTACCAAAGTCAAGAGAAAGCTTTCTGCTGATTTTATGGAAGCCAAAATTTTGCTTTTTCATTGCTACTGTTGTATGAATAAGGATACAAGAAGATCTCTACAACTTTACTTTCTTGCACAGTCTTATGCCTAACATTGACCAGACACTAAAAGACAGTTGCTCCAGGTATAAGCTCCTATCACTTACATCAGGTGTAACTCTTAAATTTAAAAAAAATGTTAAGTAAAAAAGAAGGAAAAAAAGGAATAAGCAGATTAACATTTTACTACTTCAAAACATTACACAGAACATTTCTCAAAGCAGACAAGACTGCTCACCTGAACCATTCATCTGAATTATTCACTATTTCATCTGTAAATCTAGTATTAAACTGTTAATAAAAAGCTTCTTAAATTAATAAGAATCTCTTGCTGGCAACACAAAAGCATCTGTACAAAGTATACCTGCTATCACCTGGTAATAAACTAATAGGGAAATAAAAATTATAACAACCTCTTGCAAATGAAAGTGGGTTTATTTCCAGATATTTCCACTGGGTTCAGTGTTTGACTCAGAATTAAACAGGAGTTCTAAATTTGACCTCCAACTGTAAATTCTTTTTTTTCCCTGTTCCATTCTTTCAGTACTAAGAACAATCAGATTAGATACTAATGTTATCTGTATCTTTGTCCTTTAAATAAACTGCTAAACATGACAGTGTTACGACTATGAGCTCTTTAAGATGATTTGTGAAAAGCATATTTAAAATTCCTCTTTCAAACTTAATTTTCAGGGATTTTCTTGCAGTAATATGAAAACAAATGAAAAAGATAATTGATTTCAACAGTAAGCAATTACATACAATGACTTTTCTACAGCAGTTGTCTAATTATGAGAGTATAAGCCCAGCATACCGAGCCTTAGATTTAAGCATTGTTTTTGAGGTATTCATATGATATGCAAGATGCATAACTTTTTGCATTCTGTTATATTGCAGATGCACCAAAATACTTGCTACAAACTTTTAACCCTTCACAAAAATTTTTACTTGTATACATGATTTGGATCTGAAGAAAGAATCAACCACTGTTGAACTGAATAAAAATATCTGGAGATTATCAATGTGGATAAATAACATTTACGGCAAGGCTGATCTAAAAAGTGACACTGGACTAAAAATATCTTGACAAAATTAACAATGAATGATTTGTTATGAATATGAAACATGCATATGCACAGATGTCAGTTATATAACCCATTTCTTATATCGTTAAAGAGTAAACACCAGCCTATTCTTTCAGCTTATCAAAACACAGTAGAAAGCAGGCACATTTCTCTCCCATATTTCTCTCTCCTAATTAACAGATTTTTTAACTGCATGTCTTTTACTACTGCAGCAGAATCTCATCTGCCTCCTCATTCTGAATTGCTACATACAAATGCCTATTGCTCCCAAAGGCTTTTCTAAGAAGCATCTGTAACAAAAGAATTGTAGGCGCATACCTTAACCTCTTGGTTGGCAAAAATCTCCACATCAACCCCACAGGCAACCAGAGTGGAGACATCACAGTCCATGCTACGGGCTGGCATTCCCCCCCTTTTGTACACAGAGTTAGGCAACCTCAGAGTAACAAATGATTGGAAGGGGAAAAAAAAAAAAAAAAAAAAAAAAAAAAAGCAATCTTCAATTCAGTATTTCAATTGAACAGTCCAAAATTCTGTTTCAATGCTGACAATAACTGCAAGCTTCCGACACAAGCTCTTTGCACTTAACTGAGTTGCTCCTTGCCTTCCCCTCGTACACCCACCAACTGAGCAGGCACAGCATAGTAACAGCGCTATTCCATCTCTCATGGCAATGACATCACCACAAAGACTGACATAAGCTAAATCTATTTTTTCAACCCTTTTATCTCTAGGCAGCACAGTGGATCAAATTGAACATGATTATGTGCTAAATCTGAACTGGGACTAAATCAATTCAAGCAGCGTTCACTGGCAACTGAGTCATAGCTGTTGTTTCAGCCGAGTGCTTATGTTGGCAAAAAAGATCGCCTGACACTGAAAGCTCCACTCTGAGTGTAAATTAACCCAGCATTTAAAGCCACTAAGCTCAAGGTAACATTCGTTACTTTATTATACTTTAAAATCCACAGCAGAGCACTAATAATAATAATTAAAAAAAAAAAAAAAAGCTAAACCCCAACAAAAACCTCAATATTCTGCTTTTAATAGCTCTAAGTATTCTTTTTTTTAATAAAGCATGCTATATAACCCCACACAGGAGATTAGAGAACACCTAGTCCTATCAGGAGTGATCAACACACTGCAAATCTGATCCCTGTACTTAAGACATACAAGTTGCACTATGACTCATCTTCAGAAAGATCAGAGGCATGTCTGTGTGATTTGGAAGTCAATACCCCTTTTCAAAGAGCAGAACACAAAAATTTCCCTTGAAATAAGGACTTTGCACAAGGCAACCTTTATACCATTGGTCCTTAGGGTTAATCCTTCACAAGTGTAACAGTATTCAACTGAAAGAAATAGATTTAAGTAAACTGAAGATGTTTTACACCTGCTGACTCAGTGGTCTGTTTATTCTTTTCAAGTTTATTTTTTAAAGATAGAAATATCTACAAATCTGGAACTTCTAAAGGTGATCTTTATCTCAGACTTGCACATGATTTTTCCTCTAATGTTTCAATGTTGTGATCCATAAATTACTTTTAATTCTGGCAGGCCTAGAGATGACATTTTTGGGCAAGTCAAATTAACAGGCAGAATAAAAATATTTAATTATTGATAAAAACCAAGAAGCAGCACATAGCTCAACGTAAGAGATTGCTCTGCTTAATTCTGCTTCATTAACAGATACTGCAGCTTGTACCTCATTGTACGATGTTGCACTTAGCTTGCTACTGATATTTAACCCAGGTTGTCTAAAACTATCTTAGACACTTAGGCTGAACCATGGTCAATTTGGGCTGCAGACTACCATACTCTTAACGAAATCCAAACAAGGACACCTGGGGTAAATTAGAACAATTTCTTTGCACCAAAACTGTGCATTCAGACACCTAAAAACAGAAGCAGCTTCAGATTAGACTCAAGCCACCCAGCTTCCTGTTTTACTCTCTTGCCAGCACCATAAATTTGTTAAATGCTGGGAATTCCAGATTAGCCAACGACAGAACAAGCTCCACTGAGAAATCCACTCTTTACCAGTGTGAGCTGGCAGTAAGGTTACATGCTGATACAGAAAAGATGAGATCTCTTATCAGAACATTCTTTCCCAAGTTCTATTATTCATCCACTTTTTAACTTTCATTTATAGTAGCCTCCTCAGCAGTAATCACAGACTAAGATCCACAACCAGGACAGAAACATATCCCAGCACTAAAGATTTTACTAACCAATCAACAGAAATGGATAGGGTAGTACCAGCAGCAAAATGATCAGTATGGTTTATCATGATAATCAATTGTTTTTACATCAGTCATTTAAATAACTGTTAAATGTTTTCATAAACCATAGGAAAACACTTTTTAGAAAGAATTTGAAGTTACATTTTTGTGCATGTTTAGAGGAGCTTTTATTCACATATTTGAATACAATATAGGTGATGTCATAGGAAAACAGTCGTAAAGATGCCTGATTGAACGTCTAATCAGGCAGCAATGGAAAAATCATATAATCACAAAACTCAGAAGTTAGTAAGTGATTATCAACAAGCTAGAAGGAAACATTGAAAACAAAGACAAGTCATGTATATCCAAGTCTAATGAAAGTTTTAATAGTAATGGACCAACAAGACAGAAAAACTTAACAAACATTTTAAAAAGGAAAAGATCAAGAATTAGATGATGCTGATCAGTAAGGTCCAGAAAGTGATGCCTGGCCTAAGTGTGATTTCATAGCAGTGATGGAAAAAAGATCTTATGACACAGAGCTATACTGGATAGTTCCATAATAATTTATTTATATTTTTAATTTTTAAAACTGTCACCTATCAATTTCAATAGCCCACCTCCTTAATCTTCTTATGAAAAATGGTACATGGGGTGTGAACTGACCTGTTCCACTTCATTATTATTCTTGCACTTCTAATATTCATCTCCTTTCAAAACAGAATCACTGTAATTTTTCCACCCCATCTGAATAAGGAAACCTTATTGAGATCAATTGCTTTCACTTCTTGTTTCTTCTTGCCTATTCCTAAGAATAACCTATTTTTTTCCCCTTAAAAAATACTCTAGATTACTAGGGTATTTTAGTGAGTTCTTTATAGAGACAACCCAGTTTATTTGCTTCTCGAAAACAAAGATTACCTAACAGAAGAACCCTACAGAGTGTTTGAGTGCTTCAACTTACATCTTTCAATGTACACCATATTCTATCTGTTACTACTCCTCATTTGAAATAAAAGACATAATCCTATATGAGATTATTCTCAGAGCACTCTACAGTTCCTTATAATCTCACCTAATGTAATAAAAAATTTCATTATTGGATAATTTTAAATTGAGTAATATTGACTGCTTTCTTCACATTAGACTTGTTTTTTAATCAAATTTAAAGAAAGATTCATTCAACTTCTTTCAAAAAAATTCTTAACTCTGGCTCTAGGTGGTCTTGCTCAATTCAATTCAGCAAACTCCCAAGAAAAAATAAAGGATATTCCATGCATATTTTAAAGTATCATATTTAATAGGAATTTGTATAGATATAGATACATATCTATATAGATATATATATATATGCTTTAGCATATCCAAAGGACCTAGTCTTTCATTAGGTTCTCCACATCACAAACTGCTACTAATCATAGCTTTTGTACTAATGTGAGAACAGGAAAGATGCTCTCTTGCCACTGGGTGCTAAACCAGAGTATTTGTGGATCATACCTTAAAGCTTCACCTTAAAGTTAAAGGCTAGACAGTATGTGGAATATTACTACTGACCAATACAAGCAGATTTATTTTATTCCAGAGCAAAACAGTTGGTGCTGAGGACCTGACATCAACAGTATACCTATTTCAAGAGGGATTATTCTAGGCTAGCTCTAGTACGTCCTGTGGACTGGTGCTCAGCAGCAGCAGAGTAGAGCCAGTCCTGGAGGCATCCTCTGGTTTAGGTTCATCTGAAGGAAACCCCCATGCAGAGTGCTCTGTGAGGGGAGCCGAAGTGCAAAAGGTGGAAGACCGTTTCAGAGGAAAATGACCTGAACTAGAATGCTACTGTAAATGCATCCAAAAGCATTTAACTCTACTGCCACCCCCTACCAATTGTACATTTTGCTTAAGACCACAACCACTAATTCTGAGAATGGAGAGAAAGCAGAATTTTGAACAATCATTCAGAAGATTCTCAATTCATTTCAGGTTTTGTCCATAGTAACAACTGTGCATGGAATTAAATGGGCACTATTCACATATGTGAGTATTTCAGGGCAGTGAATTTAAGAGCAACTGAGACACACTTGTATATCTAGTCTGAGTACAGAAATTCCAAGTTTTTACAGTTACGTATATAGCCATCAAGCAGGTCACAGAACTCAGAATAATACTGATTAAACATAACTCCAGGTGGTATTGTTCCTTCACAAGAACAAAAGAAATCCTGTAGCATCACTAGACTCTCTGATGATTAACACTTGATCATTTCTTATACTTGAGTCAGCAATCCCTTTCAAAAAGACAAAAACTTTCCAAAATCAGAAGGAAAAGAAATCATGCTGTTCCTGACAGGAATAATCATGTGTTCTGCATTTTGTACAGTGCCTGGGATAACGCAGTCTTGTCTACAACCTTTACTCCTGTGCATGGAGTTTTTGTTTTTCTACAGTGTTGCCATAGTTATAGTTATGTCTCAGCTTGATACATATAAATAGTATCACAGATTTAAGACTTCTCAAGCTCAACTGTCAAGTCATTAAAGCAACTTGTGCAAAATCTTGACCCTCCTTTTGCAAGCAAACTACTACTGATGTAGCCTTAGGGAAACTTCATTGTATCTGGACCTCACAGTAACATCAGCCACATTGTAACCAAAAATACCACCTAAATTCAGAAGCAAGAGTGACACATTTTGCTCACTGGATGAAGCTTGTGCTCATTATTACTAGGATTATTTATGTAGCAGCTCTCAGGTGCAAACCATGTTAAGGTGCTGTACATATTCAGAACAATAAAAAGAAATCCTACATCAGTGACCCTTTGCTGCTTGAGTGGAACACCGTAAATAGTTTCATATTATGTCTGACAAGTATTTTTAATGATGTGCATCTTTACTGATCATATTCACACTACTACACATCAAAAGAATTTAAACCGAGCTCCCTTATATATCTGTCACTAGGAACATACTTTTACAAATATAATCCTATTTTTTAACATAATTATAAAAGATAAATACTTTTTAAAACCCATAAAAATTTAGTAGCATAAGAGATAGCCCTGAAAAAAAAAAAAAAAAAAAAAAAGTTTCTCTGTCTGCAGCAGGAGATAGGAAAGGCCAACCAAGATAAATTCTTTGGGAGCAGAGTTAGCTCCTTCAAATAGGTCTTTCATAAAGACATTAAAAGAAAGCTGAATACTGAAGACTAAGTAGGGTTCAGCTCAGCCATAGAAGATGCATAAATATTTTTTTCTTATGACAGTGAGCATTGACTTGTGTTAAAGTAGATCACCCCCAAAAGGATGGAAGTAACAGATAAATCCAGCCAGAGGAACACACCAACACCACATCAGATCAGGGGAATCTGGGCCAAGAACTGGGAACTGAAGGAAGGAGGTACCCTCACCTCTAACTATGCTGC